AATAAAAAAGCCTAACAAAGTAATTCTCGCCCAATCTTAAATTAACCGCGAATCTACATATTGGGGCATCCCTAAAAAAACTACACAAAATAGATGAAAGAAGAAGATACCAACTTAGAGATATCTTTATCTAAAAAATGAGGGATGACTTATGTAATGAGTTGGAATAGGAATTTGCTAAAAACATGAAAAATGGAGATAAGGGCTAATGTTGAAGATCAAAAATCCTATCCACCTAAACAACCTCAGCCAAAGAACAAAAAACAAAAGGTGAGGGTGATTTCACATTAGCCAAAATCTTAGCCACAAGGGCCACAATAGAAAAAGCATCGCATTATCGAAAATCATGAGTCAACGAAGAAGATGGCTAACCTACAATAGTGATTTACATAGTCTGAAAAAAAAATAATGGTTGACACATGTTAAATTGTAAAAGCTCAACATCAGCGACCTAGTGGACTACGACAAGCACTACCTATCCCTACAAGCATTATCTATCCCTGAGTGGAAGTGTGAGGATATTGCAATGGATTTTATTATGGGATTTCCCAAATCCAGATAAAGGCATGACAACATTTAGATGATTATTGACAAACTAATAAAATCATCTCACGTTTTGTCTATCAAGCAAACTAATTCAATAGAGAAATTGGCATGCTTGTATGTGAAAGAAATTGTCAGATTGCATGATATTCTAAAGATTATAGTTTCAGACAAAGATAATCTTCACTTCTAGGCTATAGAAAAGTATTCATGAAAGCTTGGGCACAAACCTAGACCTGTATAGCTTCTCATCCTCAGACTGTTGGTCAATCTAATAAAGGGAATATTCAGGTATTAGAAGACTCGTTAATATTCAAATATAGTGTTTCCACTTAAAACAATTCAAAGGCAAACATATTTACTCATTTACTCAGATTTTTGCGAGCAATAAAATTTGCTCTTTTCAAACACATAAAAGGCTATGGTGATGGCCGGCTCTAGAGCACTATTCAATTCCTTATTTAGGTGATGAATAAGGAAGGGCAGCCAATAGAGAATTCTAAATTTAAAGTCCAGCAATTATTAAAATCCTTGAATTAAATTATTGTCTAGGTGCCATGATAAGGCAAGACTTAAGTGGGATTGCAATAGGAATTAATAGTTGCTTTAAGTGGATAAGAAATTGGGGGAGATTTGAATTTGAAACTCCCAAAATAAAGAAGAGAGGGAAAAGGGGCAGCACCTTGGAGGGATTGATTGGGTTTCCCAATTGGCAAAGTTTTAATTATGGAAAGAAGGGAGAGGCGGCTAGCTTTAATTGGGAGAGAATTTGGGAGTTTTAATGATATTGCCAATCATAGAATATTAATTAGGAAAAAAGAAATCATGGCAAATATCTATTTGAATTTAAATTAGCATGATTGGAAAGCTTTCCCATTATAACACATTTTATTTAAGAAAAGGAAATTCAAATTCAAATAAATTCAAATCTGCATTTAAATGACTTTACTAATATGCAATGAGATAAATTAAGAAAGTAGTGATTGCTAGGTTGAAACAAAAAAGATACATAAATAAATCAAATACAACTAAAACCTCAAAAATAAAGTGGTCCAATCATGGCCGTAGATCTTCGGCTCCTTCTCTGATAAACTTTTCACAGTCGGATGTCCTCATCATTATATTATCTAATCAACAACAACATCAAGCCTTTGTCCCACTACGTGGGGTCGGCTACATGAATCCATTTTCGCCATTGTGCCCGGTTAAAAGTCAAATTCTCACTAAATCTAATAAAGAAAGATCATTTCTAATATTTTTCAACCAAGTCTTTTTAGGTCTACCTCTACTTTTTTAACATAAGTCAAATCTAATACCTCAACTTTCCTAATCGGGTCATCGGAAGGTCTCCATTTAATGTGACCAAACCATCTAAGGCGACTCTCTCTAATCTTATCTTCCACTGGAGCTACTCCAACCTTTCACGTATATGCTCATTTCGTATCCTATGTCTAAGGGTCAAGCCACTCATCCACCTAAGCATCCTCATCTCTGCAACACTTAGTATTATGCTTCTCTTTTAATGGCCAACATTCGGCTTTACAGGTCTCACCACCATCTTATAGAATTTTTCCTTAAGTTTGAGGGAGACTTTTCTATCGCACAATAAGCCCGATGCATTCCTCCACTTCAACCATCCAACTTGAATTCTGCTGATAATATCCCCATCAATTTCACCATCACTCTGAAATCGAATCTTCAAATTCTTCATCAGTAATTTCAACAAGTGGAGCAAAGGGAAGGAGGGGGTGGCGGCTAGGAAGAAGACAGAGATGAAGTGGCGTAGAAGATTGACCGCGAGCCCGGTCATTTCCTGCGGCTGACGGGTGATGTTTTGCCCTCACCTACGGACTTCAAAGTCTCTAAGAATTCTCACAATGACTCTTAAAACTCACCAAGAGATAAAGTGCAGGAAATTTTCTTTATCATAATCATCATCCCCTCCAAAGAGAAGGAGAGGCCTCTAAATAGCCAAAATACAATGATACGTCTAATGACAAAAGTGCCCCCTAGGGTCACATAAGTCTACTCCCTCAACTGAGGGTAAAATACGAAAAAGATACATAAATAAATCAAATACAACAAAAACCTCAAAAATAAAATAGTCCAATCATGGCCGTAGATCTTCGGCTCCTTCTTTGATAAACTTTTCATGGTCGGATGTCCTCATCATTATATTATCTAATCGAATCTTTAAATTCTTCATTAGTAATTTCAATAATCATTCATATGGCTCTTTCATTACGATTCACATTCCTAAGATACTCCTTAAGTTCTAATACCACTTTTGTCACGATCCAACCTGGAGACTCGAATTAATAAAGCGGAAACAGACTATCGGACAGTTGATTAAATTTTCAATTACTAACTAACTGCTTTCAATGCATAGCAAGAGCCACTACTACCTTAAAATTTTAAGATCAAATGTTATAAATACCTTTCTCTCGGAGTATTGCGTTTCTTTTCTTCTAGTCATTTTAAGTTAATCAAACAATACATGTAAATATTTTCAATGGGAAGAGGGAGTGGGAGTCATAAAAAACTCAGTGAGTAAATCATGCTTTTAAAATTACAGTAACACAAGGCCTTTTGAACAATATGCATGCTCATTTTCGAATATAAATTACTTCTATTTAATTTCGTTTCATCGTAATCATCACTATTATGCACATAACATATCTTTATCTTTTCCGTAAATAATACAACTGTCACAGGAGAGATTGTCTAAATTGTACCAACGAAAGTACTCTTTTTTCCATTTCATTTTTCTGTTTTCATAACCTTTTACATTTATGTGCACGGGTACATTGCGTCCCCAGCAAGTACCATAAGGAGATGTGCTCCATCATTCAACATGCACATACAAACATTCTTTTCTATTTCGTTTTCCTAGCGACTTCAAACGTCACCTTCAAATCGAGAGCTGAAACCGAAGAAATCAACGGGCTCGTTTTCATGTGTTTTGTCTTCCTTTGGCTAGGTAAGATCGAAATATTACATTTGATGTTGTTGTTATTGTCTATGAATAAACAAAACTATTCAAACGCTTATATTGAAGATCACTTAGTGCTTAGGAATTAAAATGGCATTGCTTCCATGTGTCGATTATTTTCTTATTTTGCCTTTTCTATTAATTACAAAATTCGTGTTACTGTTTCATTTTTCCTTATTTTAAAAATTGATAGGCTTTTTTTTTATTTTGCATAGAGATGCCATGGTAGATCATTAACAGACTGACTATTGCAAAACAACCCTTAAATTTTCTTGTTCTTCCATTATAAATTTCATAATCCATTTCAAAGGGAGCATTAGATGATCAGGGTTGCACTATACTAATTCTAGATATCAAATATGTCATTTCATGCAACTCCTATTACCAGAATACATTATAGTCCTCGCATCATCTCTCAATATGTAGCCTATGTGTAATAAAGAAAGTCCACTTGACAAATGAGTTTAGTTAATTTTCGTTATATTAAAAATCCTATGCTATGATGCACCGACACTTCTCCTCAAAGAGGCGTGCAGTGTCCGAACCGTGTCCGATACGACACTCGCCCGACACTCCTCCGACACATGTCAGACACGCTGAAAATGTGTCCGATTAAAAAAATATTAAATACAAATTGGACACGCGTGTCCAACACGCGTATCTCAAGTATTTTATGATTTTTTTAAATATAATTTCTTGTATTTGACAGGATTTAAACTAAATTTCTTATTTCCTATCCACAACATCAAGTCAACGTCCGCACTTAATACCCAATTATCGAACATTGTCATTTTCATTTCTTTTTGGCAGTGAAGGTATTTTCATCTCCTCTCTCGGTGACTGATAAACGACATCGACGCCCGACTCTCGACATCCTAATACTAATCATTTTAAGCACAATTTCTAGTTAAATGACTTATTATTTTCAAATTATTTTTAAAATTATACTTATTTAATTTTATACACTATTTTAAATATAAAAACTATAATACCGTGTCCGTGTCCTATATTTCAATAACTGACGTGTCCCGTGTCCGTGTCGTGTCGTATTCGTATCGCCGTGTCCGTGTCTGTGCATCCTAGATCCTATGCAAATTATATATATAAATATGGAAAAGCTAATTATATCTTTTAAATGCATTTAGTCCCAGCCTTGCATTGAACATGTTGTCAAGCATACAACGTTATTTCAGCTTTCCCTGCAATAAAAATTGCCAAACTCTCTAATTAAAAATAAACAACAGTGCATGATACCCAGTATTTTAGGCAGAATTCTAAATGCAACCCAATTCAAATATTAGTTTATAACTTTAAGAGTTTGACAAGAAATCAAAAGCAACCATCAACGATAACACTACTCCAAAAAAGCCATAAATTATTTTATAAAATGCAAATATATAATGCTGAAGTACAACATTTCGCTTCTAAACATTGTCTACAATCTTTCTAAAATTATAAATCTCACCTTCAATTTGAACCAACCAAGCATCCCACGCCTCCGATTCTTTTTCTCAAATTTTAGATTATCATCTAAACAATTGATACCAAATCGACCCTCTCCTGATAACTCTGAATCAATACTTCCAGCGTCATCATCAATAATGTATTCACGTTTACGATCAGGCAAATAAGCAAGCTGCATCAATATGAGCAAAAAAAACTGCCAGTGTAAATAATATGAGAAATGAGACATATAATTAAAACAATATATTAAATGCCTAAAAATATTGAAAAGAGTATATTCGAGGCAATCTACTCCAAATGACAGGACCATCTAACTCGCTGATCTAAAAATAAAATAGTAGAATTTTTTTCATAATTTCAGAAAATAAACTTTCAATTGTAACAAGCAATTGGTTTTCCAATGAAATTCGACAACACTTTCTTAAATATTTTTCTAAACTATTCAAGTCATTCTTAAATATTTTTCTAAACTATTCCTCAAATGGAAATGAAACATTTAACTTACATAAAGGTAGTTTCCAAAATTTTCCTTAACAACTAAATACAGAAAACCCATAAACTCTTCAACCAACAAAAATTATGATAAGGAAAAAAATTTGTTATGTTCCATGAGAGATGATAATACCATTTTTCATGTGTTTCATGTGAGATGGCAGCAAATAAACCAAAGAACGACTTCCCAACCTGTACCCAACCAATTAACTATATCCCTTCAATTAAGAACATCATTTATTGAACAATAAAAGAGAATTATCAATGCTACTGGATGAGAGGCTTCCAAGCCCTATATATATATATATATATATATATATATATATATATATATATGTATATATATATATATATATGTATATATATATATATATGTATATATATATATATATGTATGTATGCGCATTTACAAGGACCATAATTTGTTTAAGCTAGCCTCCATCCAAAAACTTCAAAACCAGTTGCAGTAGAAGAGATAATGAATTTATATGTATCATTTGAAGTTCATCTCAATCGACTGAGAAACACAAAATCCATGCAATCAAAACCATACTTCCAAGCAGAAGCTGAAAACGAAGGGGCAGGTTGAAAACGAGTGAAGTGAGCATTGTAGGAAGGTAAGAATTAGCACCTCATCTTCCCCAAAAGAGTGTCTTCGTCTATGTGCTCCCTTGTCGGCAACTTGAGAAGGCAATGAATTCTTTGTAGACACTAGTATCAACTTAGTTAGCCGTTGAATCCTACCCATTAAGGCAGCTTTTGCTTCCTCCTCCTCTTCAAGTCTAGATAGTAACTTTACTTGGCCCGCTTCCAACTTATAACATGCAAAATAAAAGAAAAGACATTTTTAAAAAATTTACAAAGGATAAAAAGCTAATTGCACGGTGCTCAAACAATTGCCAAAGAAACACAAAACGTTGAATCATTATCAAATACTAAATTATAATCTACAAATGTCTGATGACAAAAATTGGAGAAAGAAAAACGTATTCATCAATATACACAATCTGCAAAAACCAAGCTTTTTGCACTAGTACTGAGAGAATCAATTAGCATTTCCTGGCACAATTTGAACCAAGGAAATTTCTCAAGTAACAGGTGAATTTTTCAATAATTCCTCAATTTGCTTTAGAATGAAATAAATATTTAGTACTAAAATTGAAAGGAAGTCCTTCACCACTTAAATAATGAAGTCTAAAAAGAAAGATATAAAAAAGTTTGCCAGTAAGATTTGCCTTTTCAACTCAGCACAAATTAGGATCTTATGGATACAATAATACCAAAATGAAATACATCAAAAACTCAAATATCACCCGTTAAGATATAGGTTGAAGCTATAAGATATTATTCCCTTAAAAAATCTTCTCTAATTAAAATAAAGTTAAGAACGCCTTGAATCACAGTTAACTATAAGAACTCCTGAATCACATTTAACTGACAGTTCATAGAATATAGTAAACATTCAAAAATTCTTATAGGAAAAGTATAAATACATAAATAAAAAAAAAAGTATAGAAGTTCAAAACGTAACAACCCCCAAATAGAAAGAGATGGATAAAAAACTTCTCATTGGAATGTAAAACAAGAAGTTTTAGTATTACCAATTGCAAGGAAAGTGCACAATAGTTCCTATGAGGTTGAACTCAAGACGATATTCAGCAAAACAAGGGATGGTGCAAATTAAGCAAAGCAGTGCAAGGAACAGCTAAGAACCACACAGTAAGGTTTAAAATTGTAGTCAAATATTATGTTGTTTTCTTTTTATGCAATGAGGCGTAAACCTCAAGGCATTTCACGACATATACCCAAAATTAAAACATTAAATTAATTTAAAATACAAAAAATAAAGCATTTGAGCATAATTTTCCTTCTGACAAAATAATAAGCAATATCATAAAACTTCGAGGTCAATTTTCTCCTAATAAAATATTTGACAAGTATTCAAAAGTGTCAAGGTAACATTACAAAAAGTCATACAAGCACTCAATAATAAAAAAGAAATCTACTATAAATGATTAAACAAAAGAAAGAAGTCTAAAATAAATAAGTAATATGTCCTAAAATGAGAAAAGGATCAAAATGATCCTTTTAAGTTTTTATGAGGGGCCAAAATAGTCCACAACTCTTTTGAGTGACAAGTTTGGTCTCTCAACTCTTTGAAATGAAACCCTTTTGGTCCACCCGTTAATTTTTAACAGAAAATGCGGATGTCCCAAGCAAACCATGAAGATATAATTGGAAAAAATTATTGATACAGAACCTTCGTCTTTCACAAATGAATGCATTATATACAATAGTGACCGACGAAACCTTAGAACCCTCCAGGAGCATTAAAACCCCAATAACATCATATAGCGCCTTCAACCCCCAACGTCTCGCAAGGCACACGTTGACCACCATGTCCCGCAGCCATAGCAAGCGTCCATCAATCGAGAAGTGAGCATCGCATCAACCACCAAGTTTTGCAGCCCTAGCAAGCGTCCATCGATTGAGCAGTAAGTCTCGATCGCGTCAACCACCAGGTCCCACAGCCTAGCGAGCTTCATTCGATGACCAGTTATTGTTGATCGCATCTCGTAGCTATATGATCTTTATTAAATTTTTTATTCACTTGAGTGACTTGTATTACATCTAATTTTGATTATACTTTCCCACCGTAGACCTTTTCCATGGATTCACCATTGTTAACCTCACTTGCCATATCCATTTCTCCCGAGCAACGCAAAGTCGAATATTATCGAATAGATAACGAGAGGAATAATTTTTTTTAAACATGATATTGCAAATTGGATTATTTTATTTTCTTCGCATTTGATAACTTTTATAAATTTTAGAATAGGAATAAAGGTATCGAAGAGGCGAGAAATAAAAAAATTGGCAAAGTTTCGATAAGCTTTGTAGTAATGAACTTATTTTTAAGTTTCAACTTAAATTTAATGAAAGTGTCATGTATTACTTTTATCTGAGAAATCCTATAAATAAAATAATAACTGAGTGGATTGAAGATTCCAATTTCTCACAGTTATTCGATGGTTTAACTGAGATGAATGATATTAACAATAATGTAGAGGTAGAGATGGGTGATGGTGATGATTATGACAATGTTGATGATTACGATGATGTTGATGATTGGTTTAAGTGTGCAAAAACTCAACTAAAAGGAAAAAAATCATTGAAAATATTGAAAAAAATTCTACAAAAATTTTTAAAGAGAGAAAGTGTGATATTGATTGAGTAAACTCTGGTGATGACGTTAGTCTACATGATAGTGATGAAGACAAAATTTGGAAATGACCAGCTTTCAATCCAATGACAGATTCCTCTGCCAACCATTTTGAAATTGGCATGCTATTTTTAGATATGTTTGCTCAAGAAAAATGGAGTGTAGGCACGAATCCCACTTTGCAACCTTAAGATTCCATTCTCCTTATGGAAGATTATAATTAATCAGATTTCCTCTGAGAGTAGTATTAGGGTTTAGTTAGATCTTGGTTCTTATTTCTTATGAGTGCAAACCCTCATACTTATTTAACCCTTCTATTTCGTAGAAGAGAACTCTAGATTAAGGATGAAGCATTAGTTATTTTAGTCTCAGTTATGAAAAAAATGAAAGTAAACCAGATCAAGATCCCATTGTTCTGTCGTCCCGGATATACCGTAGGTTTCATGTTGACGAATATTTTCGCATCGACTCGACCCCAATCGAGCCCGACAAAGCTCGATCGCGCTCGATCAACTCAATTGATCATCGTCGAGGGAAAATTAATCCAAATTAAGCCTTAATTTAATTAAATTAAACCCAATTTAATTTAATTTAAATCAAATCAACCCAATCGAACCCCGTCGAGCGTTGTCGAGCCCAATTCGACATAATTTGGCGTCGACTCAAGCTTAATTTTGCAAAACTAACTTGATCGGACCCAAACCGACCCAAATCGATCCGAATCGAGTCCAATCCGGACTCAAATTCAACCCTAATTTCTCAATTTGGGCTGAATTTGATTTTCAAATCAAAGTTTGAGATGAAGGGCTCAGATTTCACATAGAATTCTGCCCTAAAATCCCTCATTTCACGCACGAGAGATCGGATCGGTCCATTCGAGCGGTAGGGTGATGCCGCTCTTGCTCTCCAAGAGCACGCAGAGAAGAAAGGGGGAGCATTCGGCTCCCCGTTTTCGTTTTGTCCGCTCCGAGCAAGAGAAAGAGGGAGACGGAGAGAGCCTCTCGGCTCTCTGCTTGTTCGCCCGTCCCAGACAGAGCACGGGAGGGAGAGGGGGAGCGATCGGCTCCCCCGTGGCTTCTTCGTTCGGTCCGTCCCGAAGAGAGCGAGAAGGAGAGGGAGAGCCAGTCAGCTCTACCGTTTGGTTCGCCCGCCCCAACCAGGCGGAAGGGAGAGCGGAAAAGGGCAAGAGCCGTTCGGCTCTTGCTTGCGTGCGTCCCGACCAGAGAAAAAGGGGTAGACGAAGGCCTCCTTGTGTTCACTCCTTGCATGCGGCTCTTCCAAAAGAAAGCAAAGTTTGTGGCTTCTCCCCCTTTCTCCTTCAACTACGGTGAGTCCGTGGCAATTTGGAGACTGTTGGAGTTTCCAAACAGCAAAGCAAGCCTTCAAAACCTCCCAAACAGTGGTTTGGAGGCTTGACAGCGCCTTGGGCAGCAAAGGAGTCTTCCGGAGCGACTTGGACAGCAGCCACGCAGCCTCCGGAGGCTTCCAAACAGTGAAAACTGTTGTTTGGAGCGTTTGGACAGCAAGCAACCACCTACGAGAGCATCTTAACAGCGAGAATTGCTGTCCGGAGCAGTTTGGACAGCAAATTCCTCCTCCGGAGCAGCTTGGACAGCGATGGCGACCTCCGGAAAGGCCTGGACAGCAGTCTTCCTCCTTGGGAAAACCTGGGACAGCAACTTGGAGCCTTCAAAGCACCTTGGACAGCAACCTAGGAGCTTGGACAGCGGCTTGGACATCCATTTGGAGCGCTAGGACAACCCGGGTGAGGTAAAATCCCAAAACTTAGTGAAACCTAGGGTCCCCCAAGGCCGTTGATGTGTGGTTGACGTCTCCAAACCATAGGTCCCTTAGAAAATTCATTGGTTTGCTTTCCCTAAACCTATGTGCGCTTCCCTCTCCGCAAAACAGCGGAAATCCGGTGATTTCCGTTTGTTTGCTCTCTTGTGAGAGCCAAAGAGGCATGCCATATGCGTAGGGTGGTCGGATTTGTATCCGACAACCTCTCAAATGCATGTAATAGCATTCATATTGTGTTCAAACCGTCGCCTATAACAAACCTAGGCTTCGTCGTCATAGCACCCAAATGTGAAAGCTATGCATTTGGCCAAATCAATTGCATGTTGCTTAGAATTTAGATTATGCCAAAATTGATCTAAATAAATAGTGTAGGTCTCTTTCTCTAAGGAGTGCATGCTTCTAAAATTATTGGAAGATTGCTAAGCATGTTTATTTAATTTGTAGGGAAAACTTGGGGTAGATGTGGGTTTCCGAAGACCCATAAGCCATCCCATATGTGCTCTTGAATTACATAAATATGTGTTGCATCTCTTAATTTTCATGGATAAGAATGATGTGAATGATCCTTTAGCATGCAAACAATCCAATCTTTGTGTCATGACAAAATTGATATAAACTTTGGAGAGTTTGTATGTAGGAATTTATAGTCTCTACAAGTTAGTGAATGTGAATGTGTTTGGTTGGAAACAGGACCACAATGTCTATGGCCAACCAAATTCGTGATTGATCTTTTCACTAAATTTAGAGCACACAAGTGACAATCATTATTGATTTATCTACACCATATTTAG